GATCCTGGGATCGGGGGGGGCGGGGACTGGGCAGACGGGGAGCGGGGGTGGCGGGACTGGGGATACTGGGGGCGATACTGGGAGCGCTGGGCAAACTGGGAGCGATACTGGGAGCGATACTGGGAGCGGGGGATGCTGTTACTGGGAGCGGGGGAGGCCGGTACTGGGCAGACTGGGAGCGCGCGAGGCTTTACTGGGGATACTGGTGCTGGGGGCGGCTCTTACTGGGGATACTGGGGGCGGCGGAGGCCGGGACTGGGGCCGGGGGCGGGTGGTACTGGGGATACTGGGATGGATACTGGTGCGGGGGTGGCGCTACTGGGGATACTGGGATTGGGGGCGGCTGTTACTGGGGATACTGGGATTGGGGGATGCTGTTACTGGGGATACTGGGATGGATACTGGGCCCGGGAGTGGCGGTTACTGGGGATACTGGGACTGAGGGAAGCCGGTACTGGGCATACTGGGATTGGGGGCGGCTGTTACTGGGCATACTGGGACTGGGGGCGGCTGTTACTGGGCATGCTGGGGCTGTTACTGGGACTGGGGGCGGCTGTTACTGGGGATACTGGGATGGATACTGGGCCCGGGGTGGCGGTTACTGGTTAGACTGGGAGCAGGGGAGGCCGGGACTGGGCAGACTGGGACTGGGGGTGGCTGTTACTGGTGATACTGGTGTGGGGGATGCCGTTACTGGGGCTGTTACTGGGATTGGGGGCGGCTGTTACTGGGCATACTGGGATGGATACTGGGCCCGGGGGTGGCGGTTACTGGTTAGACTGGGAGCGGGGGAGGCCGGTACTGGGCAAACTGGGACTGGGGGAGGTTCAGACTGGGGATACTGGGAGCAGAGGCTGCTGTTACTGGGGATACTGGTGTGGGGGATGCCAGTACTGGGGATACTGGGGCTGTTACTGGGCCCGGGGGTGGCTGTTACTGGGCATACTGGGAGCAGGGGATGCTGTTACTGGGGATACTGGGAGCGGGGGAGGCCGGTACTGGGCACACTGGGATTAGGGTTGGTGGTTACTGGGCATACTGGGCCCGGGGGTGGCTGTTACTGGGCATACTGGGAACAGAGGCCTTGTACTGGGATTGCTGCTGGAGGATACTGGTGCTGGGGGCGGCTCTTACTGGTTAGACTGGGACTGGGGGAGGTTCTTACTGGGGATACTGGGAGCAGAGGATGCTGTTACTGGGGATACTGGGAGTGGGGGAGGCCAGGACTGGGAGTTACTGGTGTGCAGTGATGCTCTTACTGGGGGTTACTGGTTCAAGGTGATGGTGTTACTGGGGATACTGGGAGTGGGGGCGGCTGTAACTGGGGGTCACTGGTTCTGGTGGATGCTGTAACTGGGAGTTACTGGTGTGGAGTGGTGCTGTAACTGGTCTGTGTGATGCCGTTACTGGGAGTTACTGGGACATGGGGATGCTGTTACTGGGAGTTACTGGTTCTGGTGGATGCTCTTACTGGGAGTTACTGGTGTGGAGTGATGCTGTTACTGGGGGTTACTGGTGCCCAGTAAGGCCGGTACTGTGGGAGGATGCCCTTACTGGTGATACTGGTGCCACTGGGTGCTGTTACTGGTGATACTGGTCCCTGGCCATGCTGTTACTGGTTTATACTGGTGTGCAGT